AAATCAATGAATAACACACACACACACACACACACACATATATATATATATATGCATTTTTAAAAAAAGTTTCAAATATGTTCTCCTTCAAATAAATATATAAATGTATGGCTTTTATCATTCGAGTTGAGTTTTAATTCACATTTCAGTATTTATTAGTCATGTTGTTAAAAACTGGAAACTCTATTTAAATGGCTCTTCAAAAAAGCTGAAATGTATATATGCATTTTTTTTAAAAAAGGCTCAAATATGTACCCACTTTTCAGAGTTTTTATCATTCTAGTCAAGCTTTAATTCAAATTTCAATATTTAGCAGCTATTCTATTAAAAACTGGACACAACACTTAAATAGTATTTCGATTTATTTGCATTATATTTGAATTTTTGCGATTATATTTGCATTCTTTTTTAAAATTTCAATTTTCTTGGATTCACTGTATACCCGCCCTCTTTTCAAACAAATGTAAAAATCTATAGTTTTTATCATTATGAAAAATTCTGGATTAAATTACGGTAAAAACCATTAGCACCCTGGTGCAGAATCCGTAAGGATTTCTATAGTAACTATTAGAATAATATTTAATTAATTATAGTAATGCAGTGATTTTTCAATATATATTACTATAAAAATTACGGTTAATTATGCTTTTCGTTCCATAATATTTTACGGTAAAAATAAATTTCACGATAAAAAGTACCGAGTTTCTTCAGTGTATACAACTTATCATGTAAAGCTCTTATTTTCTAACTGCGTTTGCTCATTAATTGCGTAATAAGCAAATCAATAATTCGATAGTGGCGGAGCTACGTTGTAGCTATCATAAATTTTGTAAAAAATCTTTTTGAACATTTTTATTATTGTAATACTTAACTACTAAATTATTATTCACTCAAGCTAAAAAATTCTATTGCATTTTGAAATTCATTTTTTTACGAATTTTTTTTTTCATTTTTTCAATTTTTTATTATTTGACAAAATTTTTAGTATTGATTATTATTAGACTTAGATTAAGTTATTAGAAAATTTCATGTCTTTTAACCCACGACTCATTAGAAAAAACAGCATAGTACTTGATTTTATCATACCTGAACTAAGTAAAGACTTCAAACTGTGAAAGCAAAAGAAAGACGGAACATTTGTTTTCACGTAGCAAATTTTACACGCCATAGCATCCAGATAGTTATGTTATGTTAAGTCATTATAGAACTTTTAAGTGTTAATAAGAATAAGTGAAGAAAATTATCTCTCTTAATATCAAAATATCTTAATATCGAAATATATATATATAGGAAATGGATTTTTTCCTATATATTTACTCTTTAAAATTTAATCAGTTGTGGTAGCCACGTTAAGTAAATGTTTTCGAAGTAGACAACTCAAAGAAATTTATTCAAATATTTAGCTTTACAACTCATCACAAATTCAGAACATCGATACTTCATACCTTGATGAAGGACTTTATAATAAAAGTTGTAAAATAAAGATCAAAAATAAAATTTTTACTCTTTTTTTAAAAGAAGCGAAAAAAAATTACTTGATGAACATGCTTGGATTCACTGTAGGAAATACCAGATTAAATTACGCTAAAAAGATAGACACTGAGGGTACCAGTACTTTTTAACGTAAAATCCGTTTTTGCTGGAACATGTTACGGAACAAAAGATCTGATATAACGTATTTTTTACAGTTATAATTAACGTATGATCACTGAATCACTCATGAAATAAATATAATTGTAAAAATTACAATATAATATCAGTGAAAATGGATTTTACGAATGATGCAATTATTGGTACTGTTGCTACTGTATGAAGTGTTTGTACTTCATACAGTAATTTTATCCGAAATTTTCTATGAGCTACTATTGACGAACACAAAATGCTGATAAGTAATAAACTATTACAAATTATGTCATATCTTCAGAAACTGAAGTAAATAAAAAAAATTCATTTGTAAAAATCTACTAATATTTGGATAAAAATATAAAGATAAAATTACTTCAAATATAGAAACAATGCTTTTATAGAATGTATGAATGCCATACAGAGTACAAAATACTCACCTTAGTCAATAGTGGAATAGTGATCTGAACTAACGTAAGTTTCTGTATATATACTTGTTTCAAAATCTACTCGCAATGAATATACTTTGACTTTTTTCAAAACAAAAATGTGTTTTCCCTATACATAGCACTCTTGAGGTGGTTACATATGTATGAGTCGAGCGGAACTCTTCCCTTGAGAAATGTATGGTGGAAGTTAAAAACTGTTCACGTTGTAGAATTCGATCAAAAATCGAATAAACTACATCGATATGAAACCCCGATATCATGTTTTTTAAATATCTATTTTTTGACACTTTCTATTACTCACTTCCGTTCTTTAATAGAATTTCCTGGATAAGTCACAGGTATTCAAAATTTTGCATACTGAGTGCTTTTGGGATAAAAATAAATCGCAATCGGAAATCTTGTTTTCGATGGGCAATATTAATTCAGCACGGCGCTTATGAATGTATTTTCAGATCAGAAGCGAAAAATTGCAAATATTATAATAATAATAATTTTCCAATATATATAAGATATATATATATATATCAAATGGTAGCTTAATAAAGAAATATAATGTAGTACAAATGCTTAAGCATCAACGGGAAGAAAA